TTTTTTTATTTATGTTTTTTTATAATGTGTTAAAATGTACTTGAGTATGTTTGTAGTAATACAAATATACTATAAACATACTTGTATTTCAAGTGCATTTTTAATGCATTTAATAGTATGTTTTGTTTTGTTTTGTTTTTCACCAAAGTATATATGCTGCTGTCCTTTTTTAGTGTACTTTATGAATATTTGTAATGTACACAACAATATATAATACATTAAAGTTTTCTAGATATCAAAGTCTGTACGTGTGTGTGTGTATACTGAAAAAAGCAGCTTTATAATATACTAGTAGTATAATGCTAATGCATTTCCAATGAGCTGAAATACAATTGAAATGTACTTGAAGTACATTAAAACGATGCTTCAAATATACTCTAAATGTAGTTCATGAAGTATTAAACGGACATTTTAAATGTATTTTAAGAAATACACTTAAATTGCACTAAATATACTTAAAGTGGTTCCAATTTAACACAATTTCAATATATTAAATATATTACAAATAGATTAAAATCAAACTTAAACATATCTTGAAATACACTTAATATACTTAAAGTTGTTTCAAAATAATACATTTAATATGCACTTAGTATAGTATAATTTAAATATAGTAAGTATGTCTGAAAAAGCACAATTTATATATATTTCTTTTTCACCTGGGACGTCACTTTCACTTTCACGTTCTTTCTTCTGTGAAGCACAAAATAAGATGCTAGGCAGGGGTGCGTTTCCCAAAAGCAACTATGGTCATAAGTTCCGACCCTACCAATAGAGCTCAGTGGAATTAACAACCATAGTTAGCTAACTATGCTTTTGGGAAACGCACCCCAGAATGGCTGCTTATTTCCATTCAACAAAAGTAAATGCGTATAGACGTTGTCACAGGGTTGTGGTTGTAGTGAGTGCACGACGAAGGAGTAGGAGTAAAGGAGTCTTTTTAATCAGCATCAACCACGTAAACCAGGGGTGCCCAACCCTGCTCCTGGCGATCGACTGTTCTGCAAAGTTCAGGTCCAACCCTAATCAAACACACCTGAAGCAACTAATTAGGGTCTTCAGGATCACTTAAAAATTAAAGGCAGGTGTGTTTGATTAGAGTTGGAGCTAAACTTTGCAGGACAGTCGATCGCCAGGAGCAGGGTTGGGCACCCCTGATGTAAACCATTGAAAAACAACATTAATCCAAGACAAAGAAATCGACAGAAACTGAGGGCTTATGAAGACAGGAAACCTAAGGAGCAAACGAGATGATTAACACAACACAGGTGATCTAAATGAACGAAGATTAACTAATTACGAGAACAGGAAACAGGAATTAGGCCAAATTGGGGCAAACAGAAACTAAACGGAAACACACGTGACAGACATGCTGTCAATATCCAAAACGAACAAAAAAAAATTACTACTGAATTAGTCAACATGACTCACGCACTATAACTCTTCTAAAGTCATATGATAGCTTTGTTTAGCATTTATTCACAAAAAAAACCGGTCACAATGCGATCATTCACAACATGAAAAACCAAGACATTTGGCATCACTTTCGTCAAACCTGGTGCAATGTATTTTTTTAGTCACCATATTTGAACTGAACGTGTTTGAAGATTTGAGAGTTGTCGCTGATGGCAAGATTTTCCACAAACGGCTACATAATTTTGGTGTACTCCTTTCACGAAGCTATTGCATCACATCAGAGGACTAGATAATATAACACATGAGTCATACAGAACGATTTTATGGTGCATTTTTGTTATTTTTGGAGCTCGAAAGCCCCAGTCCCCAATGTGAAAAGCACTCTGGGCATTCCAGCGATATAACTGCTTTTGTGTTTCACGGAAGAAAGAAACTCATATGGGTTTGCAATAACATGAAGGTAAGCAAATGAACAGAATTTTCACTTTCAGCTGGACTACTCCTTTAATACTTTACTAATGCAACAAACTAAAAAACAAATGGCCGCGCCGTGTACGTACAAGTGTCATAATAAAATATACATTAGATAACGCTCTGCAGATATTTAGCCTGGAGCACGTTTTTAATTATGTAGCTCTCGACTGCCTTCATGCTTATCTGAGATCCATTTTAATGCCATTCTCTCTATTTCAACTTTAATATCTCAACACCTCATGAAACTCTAATAAGCAATCAATGACATGGTAAAAATGTCATAGTGCTTTTTCACAAATTCATTTGAGGTTCTACAATTAATGCACCCCATTAGTACACTGATTTTTCAGGGTTATTATTTGACAAGGCAAGATCTCTTTTGAGAGCACTAACTCTGAACATTTGCCTGATGGCAGGTTGTTTAAAAGGCTCATATAATAGATGGATAGTGCGAGAAAGATAAGAGACAGAAAGAGTGACTGGGACAGCTGAAGAACTGCCAGAAAGACTCCAGGGACAGAGAGATACCGCCGACAGAATAAAGACACAGGCCAAAAGAGAGAGACAGATGGTAGGGGCAGAAATACATCTGAACCTATGCCAGAGGGGCTCATCTCCTCAGCGTTACCTGCTTAGCAACACAGAGCTCAGGGAATCTCCACAGTAACCGAATTGTTCCATACCTGAGCTCCATAAATCCTCAAAGAAATGCTCAGAAAGGACCGGTTTCCCCGTGAAAAGTCTCTAATCTAGGGCAGAAGACTCTGGAGCCAGAGGCTCCCAGGGCTCCCTGTGCATTTTATGGCTTGAAGGTCACATCTTCAGCTACAATGGTGTTTCTCTGGATTCTGGAGTACAGCGACATTTTGGATGTTTTCAATACCTTCAATAACCAATTTAGGTCATAGAGTCTAACCTGATGAACTAGAATCAGGTGTACTGCTAAATTGGAAAACATGCTCCAATTTTTTTGCACCAAAACTTCATTCTTTCGTACTTTCAGCCAAAACATCTCTTCAATTTTCTCCTTAGAAATGAATGGGTAACTATGGTAACTGGGATTTTTCTGTACCATGAATAATTCTCAGTTAATTTCTTCAACAACATACATAAATGATATATAGACACACACTACATATAGAGCACATACTGTATATCTATTGTTAGAATTGTAAATCTAGACTCAATATCAGCCATGTCAATTTTAATCCAAGATCATGCCTTCACTTCTTTATTCGCCTCAGTGTGACCTTAGTCCTCCATTAATCTGTCACAGTAAATTAATATATGCAGACTTTCTGCATCAGTTCGGCTAGAGGCCAACAGTGCGTCATAAAATCCTGCAGAAGTCAGAAAATCAGTTTGGCAACAGTGACTGCGTGGAAAGTTTGCAATTGTAATCAACCATTATATTCAGACATCACCATATAACATGATAATATCACTCAAGATGATGGTTTCTGGTTATTACTGTCTATTTATGATATTAAAACACCTCACATTTGAATTCCAAGCAACAATACACATAAAAGTAGGCTTCAATTAACCAAAAAAAGGGGTCTTGAGCCATTTGAAATCCTGTAAAACTAAGAAAGAACTGCATGCTCATTAAAGTCTCTTTAAAGTTGTCAAAATGAATTATGCTCTCAACAGCATTTTTACTTTCGCCTTTGCAATACTAATATGGTGTCATATTTCACTTCTTTGAAGTAGCGTCCAATGTTTTAAATATTTAAAAAACCCAGATCACTCTGAAGTTTGTGACTAAGTGACTAAGAGATTAAACTCACCAAAAACAGTCCGGGCCGGAACAGACTCTCGGTTCAGCCAGAAGGACACCTGGGAAAGGATGACGGTCATGATGCACGGCAGGTAGGTCTGAATCACAAAATAACCGATCTTCCTCTTCAGGTGGAAGTGGGCCGTCATCACAGTGTACTCACCTGTGAGGAAAAAAGAGAGTTATGGGTAACAGTCCAAAATGAGACTAAAATTTGGCTTTGTTGGGTAAATTACACCAACTGGCAGGTATCTTTTGCATTTTCAACATAATACATGGTTTAAATGATAATATAAATGCAACATTAATGAGTATGTGAGAGATTCAAGTCAGATATACAATCAGTTTGCTTATAAAGCTTAGTGACTTCTGACAAATTTTATCTTAGTGGAAAATTAATCCATTAGATGTTTATCTAGGAGCCTACACATATTTCTATAAAAAAAAATTGCATATATTTACATGAAATTATATGTTTACAAAGAAATCATCCCCTTTAAGGAATAGTTCACCCAAAAACGAAAATGTACTCATGTACTCTTCCTCATGAGTTTGTTTCTTCATGAACAGATTTGGAGAAATGTAGCATTACATTACTTGCTCACCAATGGATCCTCTGCAGTGAATGGGTGCCATCAGAATGAGAGTCCAAACAGCTGATAAAAACATCACAATAATCCACAAGTAATCCACACACAATAACGTCAGCGTGCGTTTAGCTCCTGAGGAAGCAGAATGCGTGCATTGAAAGGATTTCTCACGGAAAGCTCAGTTCGTGCCGTCCCTATTCTCGAGGGATGTGGGACGAGTTTTAGGTATGATGAATAGGTATGATGAATTCGCAAGACTGACTATAAGAGACAGGTAGGAACTTCTTCCTTTCTGCTCTCTCCTGAGGAATAGTAGTTAGTGTTTACACAAGCGCATTCAGTTCTCGAAGGGGTTTAAGGCATTCATAGTGATTCATTGGCATCTGTTCTCATATGATTATTTTTAGAATGATAGAATCTGTTGTTTGAACTAGCGTGCTTGAGGTTAAATGCGCGCTTTGCGCGATGCGGTCGCAGTAATTGGTTCCACCCAGGCTTGACTCTCTCTCGAGGGATAAGAGTTGAGCGCCTGCACCCCGTGGTCAGGTCCCGTGACCACCATTACGGTGAGGTGGGATTAAGCACAGGGGTTGTAGGCAGAGCACGGACGAGTCAAACAGGAAGTTTTCCTTTTTTGGCTCCTCTTTTTGACTCAAATAACACTATTGTTCTTAATGTGTCAAATTCTGAGTAATTAGGGTCAGAAAAGTGCCATAGTTAGGTAGTGGCCTAAGTTGTTAGGCTCTCTGTTAGCTTTCTTTTCTACTGTGAGAGTTGTCCTCCCACTTTAGAGGGTTTTCTTTATTGAGTCTTTCACTCCTTAGAGCTCCGCTACGATAGCTATTGCGAGTTGTACAGTAGGCTCTCTGTGAGCCTCCTTTGTAAATGCCTCCTCTAAAATCCATGCTTATGGTAAGAGCATACGCTGTTGCTTCGTGCCTCCTCTAAAATCCATGTTTATGGTAAGAGCACGCGCTGACTGCTTCGTTCCTTCTCTAAAAATCCATGTTCATGGTAAGGTCACACGCCGAGTGCTTTGTTGCTCTTAACCAGAGTAGGTCTACCAAGTTGAGTAGGTTCTCAGTGAGCCTCCTTGGATGCTAAGAGCATTGTTAGGCCTCCTCTCGCTGGAGAGAGTTATCTTACTGAGGCCTGAGCGTAGGATATTGTTAGTCTCCTCTCGACTTTAGAGAGTCGTCATGCTGAGGCTTTCGTTTCCAGAGCTCAGTTTGCATTTGCTAAGTTGCTAGGCTTTGTGAGCCTCCTTGGCCATTGTGAGCATCATCAGGCCTCCTCTCGTTGGAGAGAGTTATCAATAGAGTGTGCAAAATGGGAGCAGGCGAAGAAGTGGCACTCTGTAAATAGAACATCAGAGAGCAAGATTATGAAATGCATATTGCAACTGAGGATATTCTGAAAGAGCTGATGTCACAAAGCAGGGGAGGGAAAGATAAATGTAATTATAAGCTGGGAGCTCTTTGAGGGATGCCACAATTACACCTCATCTCATGAAGCCCTGGATGAAAAGATCAGGTCAGTATGCAGCGACTCTACGGAGACAGTTTGTTACCGAGCAAAATGGCATAAAGAGAGAAAATCTCCTTGACATCATCATGAGGATTTTAACCTCATTATCACAGAGCATTATCCCAACCACATGAAAAGACACAGAAATGTGGCAAGCCACCTGGAAATGGAGAATCTCTACTGGAAAGTGGCCCACAAGACAGAGAGAGAGAGAGAGAACTGAAAGATGGAGGAAGACATTGGTTGCTCATGGCAACAGAAGAGAGAAATCTATCTGGTGCTTTTGGATCTTGTGGAGGATGCCATTTGGCAAAGGGGGGGGGGATCTCCTCTCCTCTTTCTGCAGAGGAAGCACAGACGGATTTTAGCCAGCTCTAATCCTGTAAAACCCACTCTTTTCTTTTCTTGTTCAAGTGCACACGGCATCCTCTCGGAGTTCCTCCTTTCACAAGCACCAGTTAGCTCAGCACGGAGCCGCGGAGGGGAAAAGAGAGGCTGAGCCACATCTGATTTAATTTAATTAACAGCAGTCCACTTGAGAAACAGCATGATGAAATGTAAATGTGCGAAGAGAGAGACACAAAAAAGAAAGTGAGAGTTCAGGCCTGTATGTGTGTCAGAATGTGTTTCTACTGACTAAAAAGATGAGTATTTAAGAGACTGTATCATTATTGCGGAGAAAGAAATAGCTCTTTCAAAACCTGGAGTGCTCCCTACTTTGGATTTTACAGGATTTTAAAGGATAAATCATACACACCACTCTTGACATGAAGACTGGTCCAAATGGTTGGCAGCAACCTTGCTGGCTTCTTGTATACCACATCTTGGCCAACATATACCACAAGTTCTGGCAGCATCACGTGTATCCCGGAATTATTATTGTTAACTAAAACGATTAAAAAAATGTTTGTTAATTGTTAAAAAAAGTTAAAATAAAAACTAAACCTGAACGAAAACTAAAAGTGAAATAAAAATAAATTAAACATAAATAGTACTGTTTCAAAAAAAAAAATGATGAAAGCAGATCACAAAATTGCTAAAAAAAGAAACTAAAATTAAAATGAGAACTGATTATAAATATTAGATTTAAAACTTAAACTAAAGAAAAGTTGGAAAAATTGCCTAGGCAGCAACTAAGATAAGTTGAAGCACTAAACTTACTATTTGGGAAAAAACAAAACAAAACTAAAACTGAAATAAAAACAAATTAAACCTAAATAGTAATATTAAAAAAATATATTAACAATAATAAAAATGACATAAGCAGATAAAATGACTAAAAAATTATCTAAAATAAAAACAATAATAGAAAAAAAATATATATATATTAGATGAAAAATGAAAATCACAAATGTTGCCTTGGCAGCTAAAATAAGTTTAAGCTGAAGCACTAAAATTGGAAGTAGCCCTAACCCTAACCCTAACCCTAACCCTAACAATTGCAATTAACTGAAATAAGTTGAAGAACTACAATGACTAAATAGAAATAAATAAAAACTAAAACTAAACTGAAATAAAATTAAAATTAAATAGAAATGAAAAAAAAAACAGTATTACAAATGACTAATTAAACTAAATAAATTAAAATAAAATGAACTGAAACAAACTAAACTGAAAATATAAAAATAAAAACTAATTTTAAAATGTATAAAAACTATTATAATATATACAAAATAGTAAAAAATAACACTCCTGCAAGGAGATATGCAGTCCCAGAATGCATTGCGACAAGCTCACTGAAGAAAAAAAAAAATCCAAGATGGTGGTTGAGTTGAGAGAAATGTTAAATATATTTAATTCAGTACGAATGAAAAAAGGTCAAAATAAATTAAAAAAACACTTTGTGCTATGTATTATGCATATTAGTGTGTGTTGTTAGCTTAGCAGCATGCTAATGTCAGTATCTATTGGAATCAATTGTGGGTTCAAATAGGTTTAGCCTATGTAGATTGTTCCAAATCAGTCTCTTATGAGGTTCCATTTAATGAGGGTTTTGCCTATGTAGGCAGTATACAGTGAGGCAGCTCACTAGGTTTTGTAACAGAGGTAGCGTGTGTGAGTGTGTGTCCGAGCTGCAGTCTGTGCACCATGAAGATGTTAATTAAAGCATGAAGTTGACGATCGGTCACAGGAGGTCACAGGAGATGCCATGATTCCTGAACACACACTGGTTCCATTCCAAACCCTAGTGAGCAGCACTACTATTTACATAAGCAGATGGGTTATAAGACAGCATCATAATCAAAGTCAAAGACCATGAGTGGCAAAAATAAAATGCTCTACAAATACAGTAGGTCCATTGACACTTACTTAAAAATAACACTTCCTATATTGGCAATGATGGTTCCATGAAGAACCTTTAAAGAGGTCATATGATGATTTTTTAAAGATCATTACTTTGTGTATTTGGTGTAACAGAATATGTTGACATGCTTTAATGTTCAAAAACCACATTATTTTTCAAATACTGTACATTATTGTAGGTCCTATATGCCCCGCCTCTCTCAAACGCTTCGTTTTCTACAAAGTCCCTCCTTCCGACAAGCGCAGTCTGCTCTGATTGGCCAGCTGACCCAGTGCATTGTGATTGGCCGAACACCGCAAGCACTCGTCAGAAATGTAACGCTCCTTACCATAATCGCGAGCTTCATCTTTCAAAATAAATGTATAAAGACACGAGCAGAAAGGGGAACAGAGTCATGTGACAGACACAGTGATGAAGCTGGTATGTGTTTGCAGTACACAAGCCACAGTTAAGACAGCTGACTCCACTTTGATGTGACCCTCTCTCTCTCTCTCGCTCTCTCTCTCTCTTTCTCGCGCGCACACACACACACACACACACACACACACACACCGCATTTAATATCCATGAAAGTGGATATTTGAAAGTGGAAAGAGCTGGGAGTGTGCATGATGCCTGAAAATGTTGTCTAGAAAGGCAGCTCCCTAGGGTTTGGAACTGAGCTAATATATTACAGCAACACTACGCTTGACACAAAGATTCTCATTAATAAGAATCCTGACCTCAACTTGACCTGAAGAACAACACAGCTAATAACAGGAGAAAGACAAAAACTGTTTTTTTACACATAATTTAATGAAAACAAAGAAATGGCCCTCTGAGACACGACTATATGGTGGGTGTTTGAAAAGGGGCATGACACAGCAATAAAACATCTGCTGAAATCTGTCTTCAAACACAATGTTATGCTCTCAACAGCCTTCAATGTACAGGTGCATCTCAATAAATTAGAATGTCGTGGAAAAGTTCATTTATTTCAGTAATTCAACTCAAATTGTGAAACTCGTGTATTAAATAAATTCAATGCACACAGACTGAAGTAGTTTAAGTCTTTGGTTCTTTTAATTGTGATGATTTTGGCTCACATTTAACAAAAACCCACCAATTCACTATCTCAACAGGTTTCTTTGACAGTGGCCTTCAGCTCATCTGCAGTTTTTGGTCTTCCATGGTCATGGTTTGGTCTTGCATTTTCTCATTTTCCTCTTGACAATACAGGTCAGGTCTGGTGAGTTTGCTGGCCAGTCAAGCACACCAGCACCATGGTCATTTAACCAACTTTTGGTGCTTTTGGCAGTGTGGGCAGGTGCCAGTTACAGGTCAGCCGATCTGGTTTCATGGTTAAAGTTAACCTTTTCGACATGTTTCCGTGTTGTTGTTGCTCAGCAATGGCATGGTTGTCTGGGGGTTTGGCAAAAGGAGAGTGGGACTGTGGGCGGTGCTCGGGGTGGTGACAGAAGGCAGTGACTGAGTAGTTCTGACGTCAACTTTTTACGGAAGTCACAACGGTTCGTGAAAAATCACAGCTACTTTATGCAGGCTGTGTGCATTTTACTGTGGAATGACAGTTTTGAAACTTATATGGTAGTTAAATAGCCCCTAGACCTCAGTTATCGTGAAAAAAGCAAGGAAATTTCAGTTTTGACAATATGGGACCTTTAAAGCCAAGACAAGCCTGAATAACACATGAGCGTCACGCACCCTGACATCATGTTTAAGTGCCCTCCTGACACTGTGCCTTTCGACTGCACTTGGTTTTTGTAAACACACCCCTTCATTGCATCATTAATCAATGCAAACACACACACACACACACACACACACACAAATACACAAACCTGGAGTGGTTTTACTCTAAGTGGTTTCCGAGCCTGTGACCTCAAAGAAGAAAGGTATTAAAAAATCCTTCAGATATATTACGAACACTCAAGTGTGCAAAATGTAGTGCACACTCAAGTGTGACAGATGACCCAATTTCCTTCACACTAGACGGCATGTTCACGCTGTTGTAATGAATGATTAATCTCACATCACATGTTGGGTACTTACAAGAGCCTTGGGAGAAAAGCCCCTAAGGCTCATGCATGTGTGTTTTAATGCACACATTCGTGCGTGTTTGTGCGAGCGAGTCGCTGGTACCGGTTTGAGTACATCCACTTGCTATGGGTGATGTAAACAGAGCTTAACAAATAGGTCTGAGCAGAAGACACCAAACCCGCAGGACACGGTAAGCAAAGCCACTGCTCTGGCATAAGAATACTGTCTTAGGAAATGAAATGGAAACAGTTATCAAGTATATTTGAGCCTAATGAACAGAATTAAGACTCGTCTCATTACTTTCATGCCCTCACAACATCAGAAAGATCGCTGATTTGATTCAATTTGGGTTATATGTGCATCTACTTTCACTATACAATTCATTCAGAAAGCAGCTTGTTCAGCAAGATTCTCTTAAAACTGTAGCTTTTCAATGATAGTTTAAGCTAAAAACTGCACCCCTGGTAGCAATGCCGATAATGCATTTGATTCAAAATTTCCAAAATCCACAAAAATACAGTATGAAGCAGCAAATGTTTTTGAGCACCAAATCAGCATTCTAGAATTATTTCTGGAGAAAATTCAGCTTTGCCATCACTGTGTCACGGGGCTGACGAGACGTGAGACGTGTGGATCCATCTGCAGGCTTTATTAAAGAGACGTGGTAAACAGGCAGGGTCAAACAATGGCAAACAGGTATATGGCGGGCAAAACACAAGAATAGTCCCAGGGCTAGCGTAGGTCACCGATAAGCAGACAGAATCACAGGGGCGAGACGAGAGGGAAAAATCCAGGAAAACAGGCAAAGATCAGAAACCGCGAAAACAGGCAAGGCAAGGCAAAACAAGGAAAACACAGAGACTCGGAATGGGGTACGGGCTAAACAATACTCAGCAGAGAAAGGTGGTAGGAGTGGGTGTTATATAGTGAGTGAGGTGATTAGAAACAGCTGTGTGCAATGAGTGCAATCAGTGCAGTGTGCAAATCGTGCAAAGAATGATGGGATATGTAGTCCGGGGTGCTATGCAACAGTTTGTGTTGTGCGAGAGTCAATGTAATGGAAAGGGTGACCTCTGGTGGTGAATAAACGGAAGTCCATGGACCGAATTCGTGACACACTGGATTAAATTACATTTAAGAATATATTAAAATACAAAACGCAAACCAGCAAAAGATAAAGAAGCAAAAGTGTTGGCTTAGTAGAAAATGTATATATATCCAAGTTGATTATTAGCCTACTCTTGACAGAGAGCTGGTTTGGTTTTTGAGAAAGGGCAACATGGCTGTTTGATTGGAGTTCGCGCTGTGCTTATTCCATTCATTTGTGTATCATATCATACAAGATTTATATCATTGACATATAAATATACAGAAATAGTATAACATGTATGAAGAAGTATTTTAGTTGATATTCTCTGATTTCTGAGAGATGCACATAGAGGCAACAGCAATGTGGTTGTTTGATTTGCACTCATTCATAAAGTTTACTTTCATTCACTTCACACACTCATTATAGCATAGTGACTTTAGAGGTTTATGTATAAAATCGCGCTGATCCCTTGGCTAAGTTATCCAGCAAATATGACGAGTGGCTGTGCCAGCCTCAGCCGAATATTTTTCAGCAGAATTATTTGTTATCTGTTATTCATTTTGAAGCCATTATTCGTGCCTTTCCGAATAAGGTATTTGGCTTTGAGCACACCCCTACTGTTTTTACTGTGTTTTTGATTAAGCAAATGCAGCCTTGGCGAGCATAAGAGACTTCTTTCAAAAGCATTAAAAAATCTAACTTTTGAACAGTAGTGTACAGCCCTATTAGTTATAGTATATCTCCCATCAGCCACTCTGCCACCTCTCTAGTTGCAAGTATCCACATATTTAATCCCATATGTGTTGACCGTTACTGTTGTGCTAGAATGAAATCCAGAATATATTTAATTTCTTGCAAGCTGTGAGTATGCTATGCATTTGTAAAGATAATGTTGTAAACCTGATATAAAGTGTGTCTTGTGGGTGTTGTTGTTGCACAGTCCCTCTGGTTTCTCTGTGCTCAACTGAAATGGAATATCTTGTACGTGCTCTGGCCTCGATCTTACCCCACGTCGAGGATGTGTTCACTTTACTGAGCTACCAAATGCCAACACACAAGAAATGTCACTGCAAACCAAAGATGTGCATGAGAGAAAGAGAGAGAGACAGTGAACGCGAACCAGAGGAAGTCACAGGCAGGGTTTGTTGAGTCTTGCCCAGAGATCGTGTTAAAGCACATTGCAGATTTAGCTGAACAGAACGAATGTGTGCTTGATAAACTATGATAGAATGAAGAACAAATCTGCCATGACATCAGGCAATCCTTCAAAACCATCCTTGTATATATATCCAACATGTCTTTTCAGTCTCTGTGGCTTTCAGAGCTTTTGTTTGAGGACAAACTTAACCAAAAATGTAACTTCTGTCATCATTCACTTACTGCCATGTTGTTTCAAATACATGCAATTGACTTTGGAAAAATTCCTGAATAATCTTTGCTTTTTCTATATTATGAAAGCATATCTATCAATCTGTAAGTGTCTTGACTCACCAGTGCTGGATCTGATGGTTTCGTTCCCCACGGTTTGCCCCAGTAGGTCATACTGGTTTAATCTAGAGCTCTCCTCTTCTACCACCACAGAGTTGGATGCGTTCTTTGTCCAGGTGTACGTCACTTCTGTCGTTGTGTAAGCATCTGTAGGAATGATTTCAGTGGGGCCACAGTTAAAACTTTGCAGATGATTGTTTGAAATTTTAAACCAATCAGTACTCCATGCTGTTACTCACAGCTGCCGAATTTGAGAGGACAGGAGTGGAAGTCCATGGGGAAATCTTCAAGATGCATCGGACACTCAGCATGCACTGTCAACCTGTGATTTACATTCACAAACACAACTAAAGCAGACATTTTATGCCATTGCCATTACTAGCAGGACTATATATATAGTTTGAGATATGTAATGAAGGAATTGAAAAATAAATTAATTCATCAAGGACACATTAAATTGATTAAAAGTGACAGTAAAGACATTTACACAGCTAAACAAGACCTATTTCAAATAAATGCTGTGCTTTTGAACTACCCATTCATCAAAGAATCCTTGAAAAAAATGTATTATGGTTTACACAGAAATATGAATCAGCACACAATTGTTTTCAACATAATAATAAGACATATTTAAGCAGCAAATAAGCATATATATATATATATATATATATATATACTGTATATATATATGCCTCCATGGCCTCCTAGTCTGCCTGCTCCGCCATGGCTTCCCTTGTTGAGCACAGTGGCACTGAGAACATTATATTTCACACACTTTAAGCTCTTTTATTTTCCAAATGTAATAGGATTAGTCCAATGAATCATTTGGTTTGTAATGCTTACCGAACCGAAAGCCTCATACCGAACGGTTCAATTCGAATACGTGTCTCGTTACACCCCTAATATATATATATACATATAATGATCACAAGGAATATTATTTAATCCTTTTTATTTATGCACCATAAAAATAGATTGTAAAATAATGCCACACAAACCAATCTTTGAATCAGAGTTTTGAATTAATTCAGTGACACCGACAGTTGTGACACAACACAATTCAGTGACACAACTCAATTGTGATATTTTTTTTCTCTTATCACTCTCATACTCATGAAACTTGTTTAGCTATTTAGAAAATTGAATGGCAAAATAAAAAGCGGCAACACTTTAGTTGCAGTTCTCACTATTAACTAGATGCTTATTAGCATGCATATTACTAGCATATTGTTGATTAGTACTTAAAAAGCACATATTTATGCCTTATTCTGCATGACCATATTTTAGATCCCTTAATCCAACCCCATACCTAAACTTAACAACTACATACAAACTATTTATAAGCAGCAAATTAGGAGTCTAGAGGCAAAAGTCATAGTTAATAGTTAGTTTATAGTGAGATAAGAATAAGTTAACAGTAATTCTATATTCTCAATGTTTTGAATATTAAATAGATCAATAGTCCCCAATTACTAGTAGTCCTATAAATGCAAGTTAATTTTCACATCCATTTCTCCTCTATTTCACTCTGTCTGCTGCATTCTCTTTCTTAGTCTCTCTTTCAGTTTGTCTCCTTTTTTTCTTCCTGCGCTTCACGGCTGAGTCAGGCTCTCATTGATTTGGCAGTGGCGAGGAGCATTTGTGCTCATAGCAAGAGCTGTGAGCGAGACAGCGATTTAGAAGAATAAAGAAAAAAGCAAAGGAAAATTGAGAGGGTACGTGTTGGAGAGTGTCATGATGTGTTCTGGAGCGGCATCAGGATGAACAGAAGCGAGAGCGAGTCATTATGAAAGCCATGTTGTTTGAGGCTTGTGTACACGACGCACGACAATATATCACAGATTCTGCTCTTCCCATTTCATCTGCAGGTAATTAAGGAGATTGATGAGGATGTTCTCAGACTCTTGAAAATGTCGATTGTAATGAGAACTGAGCTTCACTAAGAGAAAGTCACTGGTTTTAACAAAATTGGCTCCTACAAAAGTGAGTGTCACATTTCTGAAAAGAGATGAAACATCTTAATTAGTGGCTAAATCAATACGGCCGCCTGTCATACTGTGGAAGCCAGTGAGGGATGAATTATTCTAATTCACTGGAGTACAAGGTGATTCAGGGATTTACATGAGGAATGACTCCATTTGCCACGCACAATATGAGCTAAATGGATCATTCACCAAAAAATATAAATTCTGATAACATTATGTGAGGAACAGATCAAAATTAAAGTCATTATTCACTGAAAATTCACTGGAGGGCAACATTTCTTCAGTTTGGGTAAAACTTGGATTATAGTCCACAAGATCATAGGCCAGATCCATTTTTTGACAGTGTGAACAGATGACCATAAATATGACCATAAATCTTTTCTCTCATCTTTTAAAGCTGATCTGACTGTTGGACTTAATTTTATGGTAATATTGGGGGTTTAAGGCAATTAATATTCAGTAATATTATCGGAAGAGAAAAAAAAAACTTGAACAGAATTGAGCTGGATAATGAAAATATTATCATAATATTATAATATTATCATCATAAACATAGATTTGTTTCTTTTACAAAAAAAAGTGTGTTTTGAGGATTACCAGATGATACTTATTTCTTTATTTTTTTAAGTGAACTATCCCTTTAAAATTTGAAAGACAATATGACCATAAATCTTTATATTTTTACAGTCTGGGCCGATATTCTGGGTTTAAGTAAGGAATAATTGACAACAGGCCGTTGAATTATTAGAAAATAATGCACACCTGAGGTGGTGATGCCGTTACACCTCGGGTGTGCATTATTTTCTAATAATTCAACAGACCGCAGTCAATTATTCTGCTTATACTACAGTTACCACACCTCAAGACATTGTTCAGATGTTGTATTTCAAGACATTCGTCAGGTTTTTGTCTTGTGTGCGGGATTAATTTCTTGTGCGTCTCATCCCACGCCTCCTTTGCTAATTCCAAAATGTAATTTTAGACCTAGCAATAGAGGCTTGAGCCATTGATAGCAAACTACAGCAGTTAATAATGAAGTTATTAGAGAGAGAGGGAGAAAGAGAGAGGGAGAGAGAGAGGGAGAGGGAGAGAGGGAGAGAGAGAGAGAGAGAGATTAAGCGTGTGTGAATTACCCAAGTCTGTGTGTCTCTCAAGTGTTTGGGTGCAGCAGCTCTATTAATAGCGAAACTTTAAGTTCAACTGCTTCAAGAACAGTGCCGTTATTACCTGTCTTTTGAGAAATGTCATGTTGCTTTTAACTTGCTAAACTATATTACAGATAATATCATCAGAGCAGTGCTGACAACAGGTTTCTGTGCGTGTGTATGTTCAACGTGATCTCATGATAATTCGTATGTATTTTACGTAAAATGTGGTTCTATAAAACGTACATTTACGTACGTTTTTACAGGCACTAAAACGCACAATACTGACATATTTTCAGCATCTAAATGTACAAATACTTACGTATTTTCAGCATTTAAACGTACAAAACTGACGTATTGACGACACCTAAAAATGAATCCTTATGAATATTGAAATCGCGGCATTAATTTTATTAGTTTTTAGTTGTCATATGAATTACCTTGTTTTCAATTGCATTATTAAATTGTTTAACGTTACTCATTTACTTATGAAATGAAAACATTTCGTTTTGTTGTGTGATTTCTGCTGCCAGCTCGTTTCCAAGAATATGCCTATATAATGTTAAACACGACTTCACTTTAAACCTTAAAATAAATAAATTTTCTGCAATCGTTTAACCTTTACTTGTCATGTAATGTTTACTTTGATTGCCATAGGCCACAAAAGGCCACGTTTTCTCCGACATGCTGTGACTGACAATAGAACTATAAAATACGCCAAAAACACAACATAATTACGAAATGAAACAATTTTATTAGTGCACTGTAATCCAAATCTTCCGAATCCATACGACTGCGAGGAACAGACCCAAATCCAAGCCTTTATTCGGCGATCT